TATCTTACCATTACTACACATCGCTAATCTTTCAGTCAGCCTCCTGTTTTCTACATCTCACCCTTCCCCTCTCCTCCTTTTCCACGTCATCCCTGTTGGTATCGCTACTCTCCCAAAACTCTCTTTCAGCCCCCGCGGTTTTGTGTCCGTCTTCTCTCCTCCCCCCTATCACCTTTTCCCAATTACTTTTAATCTCACTCCCATTTATACTCATCAAATACCTTTATCCCCCCTCCATCCCTGTCTATACCTATATATACACATACACACATAAACGTATATATATATATAGATAGATATATGTGTGTGTGTGTGTGTGTGTGTGTGTGTGTGTATGTGTGTGTGTGTGTGTGTGTGTGTGTGTGTGTGTGTGTGTGTGTGTTATAACTATTCCTGTAGAACCAAGAAAAGTTTTCCTCTGGGATAATGAAGTATCATCTTATCTGATCTGACCGTATCTTAATTCTGTTTGACGTATTCTTACACAGGTCCTGGAGCCTTTCTTTCCAGACGATGACGCCCCTTCCTTGATCGACACTCTGACGTCAAACCCTGAGTACTCGCTGTTTGCAGATGCATTGAAGGTACGCGCTTTTTCGGATGGATAGTCTTTTGTGTTTTTTAAATTTTTGTGTAATTGTTGTCTCTGAAGTTTCTTTTTTTTGTCATTGGTATTGGTGGTAGTGTGGTGGTGTTAAAAGGTATTTTCTGCAATGTGGTAGCAGTGCTGTTGTTACAGTTGATGAAGGTTTAGAAACTGAAAAATGAGAGATAATAGAAGCAGACAAGGAAAAAGGGAACACAGAGAGAGAAAGGGAGGGAGGAAGAGAGAGACAGAGACAGACAGAGAGAGAGAGAGAGAGAGAGAGAGAGAGAGAGAGAGAGAGAGAGAGAGAGAGAGCGAGAGAGAGAAAGAGAGAGAGAGAGAAAGAGAAAGAGAAAAAGAAAAAGAAAGAGAGAGAAGGGGGAGGGAAAGAAGTGTGCGGTTTTTGGTAAGCCTGTATATATACCCCACGAGAGTCACTCATACGCCACGCCATCTTTAGTGTCATGTAGGGGATGTATCTTTTCTTCGCGCTTACTGTGTCTTCCGACCGCTCTGTTTGGTAATGATCTGTCGACGAAGATTCAGGGTAGCAAAATTAATATAGTCTCTGCAAAACTCCCACAGAGTCCAGCACACTTTGAAACGACGTATTAAAATTTATGTCGTGTAACCTATTTTACCCTCGGAAAAAACCAAACCCTAGATCTACTAGGTACAACATTTGTTGCTAATTTTATACTAGGTCGAAGTGGTTTAAAACCCTTAGAACGAAATTCAGTTGCATTCACCCCCCCCCCCCCTCCCCCCATTTCCCTTCCCCCCAACCATTTCTCTTATACATACAAACAACTTTTTCGAGAAACCCAACCTCCCTGATTTCAGTAGCTATGCTCTTCAGTGTCTCCGCTGTGGGCCTTTCCTTCAGTACATAATGGGTTTCTGCTATGTGAAAGTTTTAGCCTCAGAGTCATGCCACAAACCCCGAACTCAGTTTATTTGGGTTTCCAGATACAGCTGTTAATTCAGGAAAAGGCGGAAAGGGATATCTTACAATAGTTTTGTTCTGTTTCGTTATGTCCTTCCTAGGTTTTAATTGAAAGATATCGAGTGTCCGAGTCATGTCCTTGATCTGAACAATCTATATTTCTTTAATACTCTGAAAACTTCAAACAAATTACTTAGGCGTTTGTTGAATGACATTGAAATTATACAGTGTGCAACAGGTCAACATGTAAACCCGAAGTGAAACTTAAAATTTGCCGTTTGTGATCTAAATCTAAAGAAGGAATTGAGCACGGGTGTTCCTTGTGTTATTGGCCAGTCCAGAAAAAAAGACTGTAACTTTTCTTGAAATTCGTGGACATTATGCTGAACACTATGTAATGTCCAGCTGTTCTAACCGGCCGTCTGTGGTGTAGCGGTTAGGCTCTTATCTTGGCTGTCGCACACAGAAGACCTGAGTTTGATTTCCGTGTGGGAAGAACGAATATCTCGGTCTTTCTGCAGAGACGTTTTATCCCTCTCAGCCTAGTTTGACCCTGCCAGGCAGAGTCGAAACCTGCCTCCTAAATAATCTAAATCGTGCCCATAGGTGGGTGGGGGGGGGGGGGGGGGGGTGCGTAGGAAAAAAAACTACATAAAAAAGCGCTATTCCAAAAACATCGGGTCGTATGAGTCGGATCGGTCGGATTGGAAAAAGGGCACCCGTGCACTTTTTTTCAATGTAGACTCTGATTTGTTTGTTCACGCCCTGCTCTCATCGCTGTGAACATAAAGAGGCTTAGTGCAAGATGATAATATTAACCACCATCATCATCATCATCATCATCATCATCATCATCATCATCATCATCATCATCATCATCATCATCATCATCATCATCATCATCATCATCATCATCGTCGTCGTCGTCGTCGTCGTCGTCATGCTTTTAATAATAGCAATAATAATAATAATATTAATAATAATAATGTTAATAATATAAAAATAATAATAATAATAATAATAATAATAATAATAATAATAATGATAATAATAATAATAATAATAATAATAATAATAATAATAATAATAATAATAA